GGGGAAGAGGGGGAAAGACGAACCACGACGAGTGAAGCTGCTGCCAGGGTAAGAGTGTACCAGAAGCAGAACTGACCAAAAGGCGTTCTTGAAGGCGGCGACCTCGGGATGACGTAGTGAAGAAGATGTCGGGAAGAGGGGGCCGAGAGGGGGAAGTTATCTGAAAAGTCACACACGGAAAGGAGTGAGGGGGGGAAGGGGATAGGGGGACGGAAAGAGGGGGAAAGAACCACGAACCACGGAAAGAGGGGGATACGGGGTGGGTGGGGAAACACCGGGTGGGTTTTAGAAAGAGTGTGTGTATAAGGGAGAGGGTGGGGAGGGAAAGGGGGAGAATCACGGTTTCTGCCGCCGCTGTTCTCTCTCACATTGCCTGATGTCTCTTTTCCCCTCCCCAACTCTCTTCTCAACTGCCTTTTTTGCCTCTCTTCGCCTTCACCGCCCTAAAACCCGAGTCGATCCACCCCCCCACATTCTCAAAAACCTGAAGGCCCCATCCACCCCGCCATCGGCTTCAGGGCCAGTGCCGCTTTTTCACCAACTAACCAATCAACCACTAACTAACCAACGAACAACTAACTGGTAACCAACAGGTGATCGCCACGCTCCGTCGCGGAGAGGAATACGCTGAAGCGTTCCAAAGCGTTACCGTACTGTTCAGCGATGTGAGCGTTATGGGGGGAAAAGAAGGGAAAGGAGGGGGTGGGGGAAAGAGGGGAAAGGAGGGGGTGGGGGTAATGAATGTGCCTGGTGTGTGTATTCCCCGCCATTCACTCATCTGCTGTTTGTACGGGACGTTCGGGCGCAAGAATTAACATCAGCTTGGTAATGTACGGCATTTTTCCCAATGATTCTTTGCACATCAATCCTGCCGTGTGCACATGTTGGGGTGTTACTTTTTGCAGATTGTGTCGTACACCACATTGGCGTCGGAGATGGAGCCCATCAAGGTACGTGGGACGGAAGGGGAGGGGAGGGGAGGGGGGAAAGTGTCGTACACATGCGTGTGTATGTTTCCCGTTTTTGCACGCATCAATTTGTCGGGATCTGACCAACACTTGCGTAACTCCGTTGCGTGATTTGCCATAAGATTTGTGTGTGTATGTGTGTGTACGAGTGTGTGTGTTTGCTGCACATATCTCATCCTCGCCATGTTGTTGTGCTGACAGCACCGTCGTACCGTCGGCTTCTACACATACATGCCATAATTAAAAGGTACCCCTTGTACAACTCTTATCGTACGCGCTGTCGTACGCAGGTTGTACGATTATTGAACGAGATGTACAGCGAGTACGACGCACTGGTGGACCAATTTGAGTGCTACAAAGTGGAGACGATTGGCGACGGTACGGCAACTTGGTGGTGTGCGGGGTGCTTTGATAGTCCCCGATTGCAAGGCGCAAGGGGCCCCTCACGCACACACTTCCTCTGGCAGCCTCTCCTGCCCTACCCCTTTAAACACCCTCTCCCACTCCCCTTTTCTCCCACTTCCCCCCTCTCCCCCCTCCCCCCGCTCCCCTCTCTCCCCTCCCCCCGCTCCCCCCCTCCCCCCGCTCCCCCCCTCCCCCCGCTCCCC